GGATAGTGAATTTTTTTCACGAGTTGGCCTCATGCTTCCATCGAATTACACATAGCCTTGCTTCCTAAAATATACGCTTAATCGGGATGGATGCAGTTTTAGCCTCGTCTAGGTCTTATAGGCACAACTGGCGGGACTCGAACCATAGTTAGTATAGCGTAAAATTTTGACACGGTAACCATTACGCTACACTGTCAAGAAGTCCTGGAAACTACAGTCCATCCTGGATATGAATACCTTTTAGGAAGAAAGGCTATGCAAAATTTAATGAAAAGTGCGGCCTAAGTATGTAATTGTGGGAAAATTTAACCACCAGCCTTTCATTAGCATAAATAAAATATGGTGAATACAGCTCTGAAATCAGACCTACTGGTAGCCTTGAAAATCTACTTATAAAGTGAAAAAGAAATAATATCTGTTGTAAATAAATAGTTAATCCTGGATAAAAAGTCCAGACAGAAAAGCATGAGATAATTCAATAGTAAAGCTAAACGAGTCTTCAAAAATGAAAATTATAGGTATGAAGACCAAGATATTGCGTCCTCTAATTTGCCTCTTTCAATACATAGAATTAGTCTACGGTCCATCGCTGGGAATTATAATAACTACCAAAGCAGAGGACCTTTGGCAAAGTGCACCCAACTAAGCCGGCCTGACAACACAACCAAGTTGCAAAAACTAGGTCAAACCACTTCCGTAGGGGAAATTATAGTTTTCCTAAAATGAATAAGCAAAGGTAGTCTGTAATACCTTTATAAAATGAGGACTAGAAGTTAAATAGGAAAAACTTTACAAATAAGTTCGTTGGTTTGACAGTTTTCTAAATTTGGCCATACACTATGCTGTATCGTAATCATATGAAGATTCAACATAGTAACGCTGACCCAGTAATTTCCGGAAGACTCGCTGGAAGCAAAGTAGATATCCTCAATGAAGAAAGCCATGCTTAGCACCAAACAAAACGCGGTAAAAGGTTAAGCTTAAGTCAATCCCTTTCGCCGATACATTAAAGAATAGTGTTGTCATTTCATCATAAAATGAAGAACAATACTGTATGGCCTCCGGTTTGATCGCAATCTCCTTGAGATATATAGTGCTGATTCTACCTCTTCTCAGCAGCCTTATCGGAGCGTCAGGGAGACTTTGTGGAATGAACCTAGTTCTGCGTCCTCTGACATAGTATTAGTGATTTCCAGCACCTAATCATTGACTTAGTACATTCTGAACGTTTGCATATACTACCTACGTATGGAATGAATTCTTATCAACATTCTTCTGGCTATATGATAACCAAGAAATCTATTTCCCGGCAAGTCAATACTATTAGATTTTTTTAAATGTGTATTTTACATAATGCAGACCCTTGATGCTGTATTCTTGATAGACGTCCAGGTTTACCTATTTGCATTAATAAGAAACTGGAGCTTGTATTAGGTGGTTTGGTTAAGACTAGACTCAAAGAAAGTATAGGCAAATTATATGAACTGATTCGAACCAAAAACAAGGACTATACAATCCCTTCCTCAGCTATTTTCTCAAGACTTTATCAAATTGCAGAAAATGGCGGACGGTTTAGCGGATAGGATGGATAAGATCCATAGATCCCGACATGATAAGAAATTGAGCAATTTAGGCATTAACAATCAGCCAAAAGAATCGTCGAAACAATAAAGTAGTTAAAATTAATGCTATTTTTTCAAGCAAAAATAAAGTCATTAATTTATTCAGTATATCTATGGATGCTAATGTTAAGCTCGTCTTGGAAAGGGGTTTAAACTTTGCATTTCCAAATGAGCAAAATCTTTCAATGGATATACTGGTTGAATTAATTAACTTAACGGACAAGCTGCCAGAAGAGGCTAAGAATAGTACAGAAAGAAAAGTGATTCCTTATTTTGATGAAATAATTATTACATAGAAATCGTATGACTTAAATAGAGTTTCTAGATATTTGAACCAAAATGATCTGTTTGTTTTGAAAGCAGATAAAGGTGGTGCAATGGTCATCATGGATAGGTTAAGTTATATAAAAAAAATGATGGTTCATTTAAATGACTCAGAAACTTACAGACTTTTATTGAAT